TTGATGTTATCATTGGTGTGACGATATTCGTTAGTTTTTGGGGTTTGTCGATGTTAATTGCATACTTTGTAACGTAAAATCGGCAACAAGTATTAGTGAAATCGCCGTTGTTAATGTTATCGTCAGTGTGACGATATTCTTGGTTTTGGGTTTTGTTGATATTGTGCGTTTTTTTTTTCTTTTTTTTTTTTTTTAATAAAATTTATAATCATTACGCGATGACGTTTAATTAAATACTGTATGATGTAAATATGACAAATTAAAATAAATTAGCCATGCAGGGCGTGAAAAAATTAAATACATAGCATGATACTAGGATGAAGTATTTTTTTGGTTTTTTTTTGTCCGAAGTTGATCGGTAAAATAAAGGTCTGAGTAGTACAAATATGTCTAGTACTTCAGGATCGTATCACGTGATATTTGCGGTTTTTGATTAGTTGGGATAGTTAGGATATATATCTCCCTGCGGGAGATGTATCTCTCGTGAGAGATGCCTAAAAGCACCCAAAAAAAAATCAGGTTCTTATATATAATTTTAACTTTTTTTACCCTCTCCCCCTCTAAAAAATCATCTAATTTTTGTCATGTCTCTAATTTGATTAGTTGCATATGATTCAGGAGTGTCACTAGTGGTGACAAATAGATTCGCTCTTTAAATTTATCTATACTAAAATTTAAATAATTTAAAATTTTATTAAAGAAATTATAATTTTACAAATATAGAGTATTTTATATTAAAAAAATTTATTTTGTAATATAAATAATTGTAAAATAAATTAAGTTTAATTATTTGTTTTAGTTTATGAACTAATCTGAAATTAAGCAAATTTTACGATTTTGATTAGTTAAAGATAAAAATATTAATATTTATTAAATAATATTTTAGAAGATAAGGTAGAATTTTTCAAATATTTGATTTGAAATTTAATATGATTTGATATGATTTAAGTTATATCACATAAAATATAAATTATTCAATTAAATATTTTAAAATAATAATAGTATCTATAGATACTATTAAGAAAATCATATTTATTATATAAT